TGCATTTTATTTCAAATTTGATAAGAAACTTATTTTAAAAGCAACCAACAATTTTTACAACTCTGTCAATAAAAATTTGGTTCAGTTGTAAATTTAGAAAATTATCTACGATTTATTTCTAATTTAGCTCTCGGAACTCAACTGAAATTTAATGATTCTTTTGAATGTTGTACGGCTAAACTATTATTCAAATTTGCCTACAAAAGGAGAGATTTTTCATTTCATCACGAAGAATGATGCAACGTAGATTCATTAAACATTGTAACAGTCGTCATGGTTATAAATAATTAGGCCCGACAGTCGGTCTGGTGGTTGTAAAGATCTTTTGAGTGTTATATGCATGATATACAAAGATACCGCCAATAGTCTGCAGTAATTAGAGCCCCGAGACCACCCGTAATGATGGCCGACCAATTAAGGGCCACCTGGTACAAAAATCCGTCTTATCCCAATTAGATCGCGGCGTTGGCAACTAGCAGTCCGCAAAACGTACACGACTAAGGGAAAAGGATGGACCGGCGATGTTAACAGGGAATATTTATGGCTCCTAAAATATTACGTTTGTAATCTATTCTCGGACTACAGCAGTCCGTTTTTGGTGTGTTTTGCGCTCAAAATCAGACGATTAGTAACTCGCCTCTCGTTTCAAACACTTTTGTAATTGATAGTTAATTAATTTGAACCTAAGACTATAAACATGAAACTGCAAGACATCAATGAAATAGTCAGAAATGTTATTATCTTTATAAGAATAGTTTATTATGTTGTTTGTTCTAGAATACCTTACAGATTTATCATACGTACGGTTTTCCTTGTACTAACGTATAACACTTGTAATATAATCATTTTTAAGCTACAATAACCATGATCTGATTACATGCTCGTCTGATTACACGTGCTACTTTAATGTTGAACAAAGCATTACCTTGTCATCTCCCTTATTTTACAATTTTCTATTCGACTGAAAGAAATGTAGCAATGTATAGAATCCGATATTAGATCGTTCTCAAAAGTGTGAAAATAGACGAAAGTGTAAAAGTTAAAGTAAAACCCATGTAGTAATACTTAAACTGTAGTTTAAAATAAGCTCTGACATTTCATCCTATCTTTCCGTCTGTTCTTTTTATTGATATATATGATCACGTTCTTAAAAAATCGCAAATATTCTATTAACTTTTCCATAATAGGTTATTTCAACTTTGTCTTATATAATTGGTATTCCAGAAGACAGTATTCTATTTAAAAGGTTAACACGTTGAATGCCATGAGGGTTATCGGTGACCCCCGGCCAAATTCAGTTACTGCAATTTTCTCAATTAAACGACGATTATTTGTAAACATTTCTATATTGTAAATAATGCTACCTAATGCGGTGACATTCAGCAAAACAAACCTGCGATAATAACAACGCAATTCAATGAAATAATTTAATATTGTATCTTTTTCATTTTGCATATTTTCCAGCTTAAAATTGTGCGGTATTCAACGTGTTAGTGACATCTTCCTAAACAAAGCTGAACTTGGCTTTGTCTCCCCGTTTCCGCGAAAGCTGCTGAATATTATGATTTTTCCGTCGCCGTTCTTGACGATGGCTGCGACGCTGGCGTCCCTGGCTTCCGTCTGGAACGTCATGCGAGCTCTTATTAAAGGTGGCGATTTATTGCTAGTAATAACGGTGTGGTCTGGTGCCGCTCGACGGCGAATGTCTCCCGAAGGTTTCCTAGGGGAATGGAATAACGGTGTCGGAGGGTTCAAGGTACCTAAGGCCGAATCTACACTTGGACCTCGGACATCCAATGTTCACTACTATCTTTAATATTTTTGTACGCGGACGAATGGTAAAAGGTTCAACGCAGAAATGTTAGCTGGGCATTCGTATATATGGACGATTCTAACCCTCTTCCAGTAATGGGGACCTTATATGGCTTTTTCACAGTCGATCTTTATAGCTTTTATATAGTTTTGTATAATTTTATAGTTGATTTTTCATTGTTGACTCCTGTAAAAATCTGAAAACATTCTGACACACTTACACTTACTAATTTAGTAAATATACAAATGCAACTTTAGCCAAATCTTCATATGGTCGAGTCGCAGTAAAATTACGAAGACATGAGATTTTCGATAGGCCTTTAACCTTCTCTCTGTGTAAACATTTTAACGTTCATCGTGTGCAAAAGTGTAATTGTACCCCATACATTTTTAGTACAAAATGTAAAAAAAAATTTGGCTGCATAAGTATCTACTACTACATTCAAATTCATCTGTTTCAATGAAATCTGTTCAAATGTTATATGAAACGTATTATATGTAGCATTCTTGATAAAATTTCGGAAATTTTACATTTATGGACTTTTTATTTACGCTTTTTATGTTTAGAGAGAAGGTTAACGATTCTCATTGTCGATAGAGGGTTAATAGAACCGATTGTGAGCCAAATGGTGTCTCTTGAGTATTTTTTGCGAAGAAATGAAGATAAAATTTTAAATGTTGTTTATGTACTGTTTATTACTCAACATATTTGGCTTCAGTGTGTAATTTTTGTTTTGAAGATAGATTTTTGAATCTCACTCTAAGTACGTACAAAATTATTTTTTATTTTCATATTTCAACATTCTCGAAACATTCTCGAAACTTTTTGATTCACTCTCATATGTTTATCAAAATATCCATCATCAACGAATAATATTTACTTATATAAAATAATTATTATTAATTATATTGAATAATATAAAATTATACATATTAAAATAAAATTTTATAATTCAAATAAAATCAAATATAAATTTAGCTGCATGCTGTGCAGGTAATTAATATTTCCGTAGAAATGTGTAGTACGTAAAAAAATTCTTCGACAGCGATTATGATTCGAATAATTCTGCAATTGTTATAGTCCAGGTTGAGAAAAATCAGTTAGCTTTGAAATATAATAAGCTCAAAGGATTCAGATGAAATTATTAACTAACGTAAATTGGACCGAAACTCATGAAAATTGATATAATTTAAAAGGAGGAATAACGTTTTCTTATTATAATAGGCCTTTGTCGACTTTTTTATAATCATACTCTACTGTATTATGAAGCTACTGGTAGTCGACAGGGGTATCTCTCTAATCTATTTTTCTCTTATTCGTCTGGCATTTTTCTCTCATTATTAGCAACAGCGAATAATGCGGTTTGGATAATGATGTGATGATAAGGAGATCGATAAAACGTGATTACAAAGGGAGAGTAGTATAAAATATTGAATTGTCATAGGTTTCACCAACTTCTTCGTAATCGCGTTAATAAGTGAAATGGAATAAATGATCTCGAAATCCGACTCACTGCTCTTTATATTCACGACATCACTGATAAAGGGTACAATTATAGAGAGATAATTACGTATCATATCGAATGAGAATGTGAAAGCAGTTATCACCACTGATGGAAAGGTAAAATATTAATTCAAACTGAATTATTGAAACTATTGTACCGTACTATTGTAAGATTAAACACACATACTTTATATATTTGCTAATTCTACAACTTTACATAGTACTTAATTTTACATAAATGTAAAAAAAAAGTAATATTTCAATATTTCATTAATCATGAATAAGACTATCTCATAATTTTAGCCAACAGTGTACAATATTAAATTATGATTCTCTAGTTACATTTTCAGTATGTATTCTTTAATATTTCTTAATATTTTTAAATTACATTAATTTCTTATTTAATTTATATGCTACATGGAACCGTGTCTTTTAACTAAACAAATTTCTAAATGATCAAGGTGTTGTATTCTCTGTTGAAGTATTTCGGAACACGGTAATCATTTCCTTATTGATTGGATATTAATTATAGTATAATATTTATTAATTAACCGAATAAACTTTATACAATTCATAACTACAATAAATAATTGAAAACAAAGAAGACAGGATATAGTGTATACATAAATAATTAAAATGTGAAATACTTTCGTTATTCATTTACATATATAAAAACAGTTATTAGAAAGTTAATTTAATATTAAAAAAGTATTCATACTAGGCAAAATTTCATCCATGCGAAAGCCGATACACTAGCAAGTCTTGACATTTTGTTAGCGAGTCGTATGAGTTGACGCCACTTGAACCGTCAGAGAACTCGACTGTAACGAGCTTCAGGATTGATTAACCGTGGCGTGGAGCAACCGAGTCTACTTTTGCCGGGTCTAAGCAAACGAGTCGACGTCTTGGTAAGGGATTAACAGATCTCCCTTAATTACGGTTGATTAATAGCTTCTTCGACGGATTGTTTGGTGACGGGAAAGTCTCCGAAGTGGTGATTTTTTACTGGAATTTTTTATTGACTAATTTTAGATATTCAGGATGTACTTTGAGAATGTGATTTATTTACTTTTCTTCGTGGAAAAGCAAAATTAATCATCTATTATTTTTTTACTTTCTATTCCAAAGATTTTTGTGAGTAAACCCATCCCGTTCAATTATAATTCACCAGTATACAACACGAATCATAACAACTATATAGCTGTTACTATTATTATAATTCAAATGTTATCACAGGTAAGTCATCATAAGTCAACATTTGTAATATTTTTAACAGAAAAATAGTACTTTTTTCATTTTATTTCAAAGCGAACGAATAATATTCATACTTCTACATTTATATAGTTCGAAACTTTTGTAGAAAGATAGAATTGATATTTTAATTCAAGCAGTTAAAAGTCATAAAGGTTTTCATTTTACTATTATGTATTTAAATGTATAATATTTCAGTATTACAAAACAATATTCAGGTATTGCAAAACAACTCGATAATGTAAGTACTCATAAAATTCTGTTTTAAGGTACATACATACCTGTGTATGTGTGTATGTATGTTTTCGATTGAATTTTGTTCTCTTTAAAGTCATTGTTGTTTACTTATGATTTTAC